TGTTGTTGTTGTTGTTGGCGTTGATGGGATCTTTAATTCAAACTATGCTGGAGCTACTGCTACCGATGAATGAAGCACAGTAGATGTTGATTGATTGTGATGCGGTAAGTTGCGTCAAAACCTTCGTAACTGTCTTTGTTGAAATATATCTCTTACCTCCAAACAATCCTTTCTCTTCTTATTCTTGTAACTTGTTTAGTAATTTAGGCGTGGTACGACTGTATGCCGGACAATTTTGTCAGTTCCTTTGTCAGCTTACGTGATGCTGTTGGTAGAGGAAGGAGCAGCGAGTGCACAAGTGACACTCGTTTGTGTGAATCTGACTGTGTTTAGTGCTCTTCGTGTGACGGATCGAACCGTATGCATGTGTTGTTATCAGCAGAAGAAGGAGAAGAAGAAGTTTCTTGGCACGATTGCCTCCAAGGGATGGGCAGCTTCATGCCGAGTGCCATGTAGACGGCATACGAATCGCCTTAGCGTGTTCGCTTCCCCTACTATCTTGATGTAGTAGTCTCTGTGTCACCTTAGCCCTCACTCCCTCTCTTCAGTGAGAGGTCATTGGTCTTGACTTTGTTACTACTACTGATATTATTTGTTTTGGGGAGCGGCTGAGAGTTGATTGATGAGCTGCGGTGAGAGAGATTGGTTCGGTTCTAATCCCGTTCACATTTTCATATGCTGGCAAGCATTAGGATTTGTTTCTTTATTTATTTATTTAAACACTTTTGGCCAGTACGATTGTTTGATTACTTGGATAGTAAGGGTTTAGGTGGACATACGGGCAGGTAGGCAGGCATGCAGTGGTTGAGAAATGTGCTTTGTTATGGCTTTTTTATTTACCTACAGGCCTGGCTGTTTATCTCTCCGTCTACCGACCCACCCACCCGTCCGTCTCTCGGTCAATTTGTCTAACACACGACCTCCCTAGCCCTTCTCCGCGTCTATGTTTCACTCACACTGCGGCGTGAGCTGTGACCCTGAAATATATGCGCCGTCCTTCCTCAATCTTCTCCGGGCTGCCCCATGAGCCACAACCACTGCCCTTATCCGCATCCTACACAGACACTGTGAGTCAGTTGTACATAGGTTGATGACATTTAAGCACTCTGGTTCTCTTTTTCCAAGTCGGCCTCTCTGTTGTTATTGGGTTATTGGGGATGGGAAGGCGGGCTAATGCAGCAGTCTCGTGTCAACTTATTGGCAGTCTTCGTCAATAAGTGACACTCATATCGCATTCTTCGCCCTGAGCCTCAGTACTGCGGTACTTAGCAACGCGTCCGACGATGGTGCGGCCTTTGTAGCGCTACCTCATCTAGGCGATCGCAGGCGCGTCCCCCTAAAGTAGGGGCGGCTTCGCTTCCCCCTGCCACCAATGCAGGGCTACGAGGTTACTCTGTAGACGAAAGAAGACATTATGCTCGGGCGGCACACGTATTGATGTATACATGGATGGATGGGTGGGTGTAGAAGCACAGAGGGAGGAATGGCAAAGCAGCACTGTGTTATGCCAAAGTCGCTTACAACATCAACTTCCTGCAAGTCATTGGAAAAATATGTCAATGGCCATGTCCACTCAGCAAAGTTTCTCACCGGCGAAGACCCAAGGCGGCCGCCTCTCTTCTGAAACTGAGTTATACAGACACCACGTCACAGTTGGGTGCACTGACTGGCTTCATTTGCACTCCTTTCAGCACCATCCGCAAATGGACAGGGCGCCTCTGACAGAGCCCCTGTCTGCATCACGCCACAGCTCCAACTGTGTAAACCTTCGCAGCTTGAACACCCCATGTCTGCATAACAAAAGTACGCAGCATAAATAGATAATCTGTTTTTTTTTCTCATCAAAAGAGGAAAGAGTAACGGTTAGATTTCAGTGATGGTGGGAGGTGGAGAGAGGAGGAGAGACTGGGGAAGAAGTAGGTTTAGATACACAAACGTGCGCAAACACGCAACACAGATGCCAATACAGAATGGTTGGAGAGAAGGGAGACAGTGGGATGCAGCGAGGAAGTACTTTGTACACGAAATCACCCACTCTCTCTCCTCACAACGGGTGGCGGAAATGTGGTGGAGAGAAGGGGAAACCCAGAGGCATCCTCATTCCCCCATTCTGGTAGTGCGGTGGAGGCAACGGCTGCGGCGGAGGCTGCATAGACAGCAATAAAGCGACTTCCATGACCATATAGAACAGTGTCTACGCAGTGCCGCATAAGAAAGAGGTCAACGGCACAATGGGGTTAATTATATGTACTTGGTGATGATGGTCTTCAGCAGTCGTTCATTGTAGCATGCATTCATTAGCACAACTGAAATGCCACATTACTAAACTGCGAAAATGGGCAATAAAGGCATTTCAGTCAGATCACTTCTAAGCGCAAACGGTTGATGCATTGCAAAAGACTGAGTTTACAATGAAAAATATCCACAATATTGCATTGCAGAAGCGTATAAAGAGGGTCGGCACCTACCCGAGGAGAGTAGGGGATGGGATCCAATGGATGATTTGTGCACGGATGAAGGGGCAAAGAACTGCAGTGAGCGGAGATATGGCGGTGGTAGTGGAGGCGCCGGTGGTGGCTGCGGCACCACGGGGGCTGAAGACGGTATAGGCGGCAGTGGATGGAAGCGTGCGAAGGAGAGCGCAGGTAGAGGCAGCGGCGACAGCGCAGCGGGGCGGACCAAGTTGCCACCCGCCCGGATTATCTCCACCGCACGACGATACGACATTCCCGCCGTCATGAAACCATTGATCTGCAGCAACTCGTCACCTATTTAGGATACCGATGAATAAGTTGCCTACTTCACCGTCGTATACAGTCCGAATCACCTATTGCAGGGCAAATTCGCCATTATTTGTCCCACGGGAAGAAAGATCGGTTCAACAGTAATGAGGGGGAAATCAGTGCACTCTGGCAAAAACGTGTGCCACTCTCGTATTATGCTTTCTCCCGTCTTCAGGGAAGTCTCAATCCTCTGTATTGCTCACCTACACTTATTTCAATTTCTAAATGCGAAACCTCAATATGATGGAAGAAAGGCATTCACCGCGAATGGGAGAATCGGTAACAGCCTCCAACAGAGGGACTCAAAATGACGTCAATCTTCGACAACTACTTCAATTCCGTCTTCTAAAAGAATGATACTGATAACCTTAGCGGCACTAGCGGTAGCCGTCAACCATCTGGAAGAGCTCGTTACGGGGCTGTCTACGGTACCCACGTAAAGGTGTCAATCAAGTAAACACGGCATGCCTCCACCTCTCCACTAGCTGAACAGGACGTGGACAGGTATATGGCTGGGCAACACTGAAGTGAGAACCACGTGGTAAGGAGGAACAGACGCGAAACTTTATCTCCACACAAGTAATCTATAATTCCCCTTCCTCCAATACTGTTCCCAAACAGGGCAAAACATCAGATGCAGTGGATTTGTCAAAAGGGATCACTGACGTTGTGGTCAAATATCTTCTCAGTTACAAGCCATTTCCATAATTGGCACGGTTGGTTCTTGGGTGCCTTTCTTACAACACCGACTACGTTGTGATGGCCGATACAGGAGGTTGACCGAGGGGAGCACCGACGACGACGCTCAAAGGGAGAGAGTGGGCTATGTAATATTACGATCCTTTGATCACTTCTTCTTTTTGGCCTCCTGGCCACGCCAGTAGCCTTCCAGTCCTTATATGCGTCAGTAATACATCTTCGGAAAATAGTCGAGACGTTGAAATACAATTCCCATTACATCAGTTTTGAATTTGGTCAACAATTACTCGGCATTAACCTTACCAAGTCCACGGCAACATTGCGACCATCTAGTCTTCTTCGAACCGACCTCACTTCCAGTGATTGCTGTAGGGAATCCGTACCCTTGGCGGAGTGCATGAAGTGTCGCGACATCTATTCTGCAGATGCGTCCTGAGCTCATGAAACGAGGATTGAGGAGTTAGCTGTGAGTAAGTAACAGTGAAGAGTAAGGAACTAGGAGTAGGAATGGCAGTGAATCATTCACGTTAATATCTGAGGCACAAGTGACACGTTTGTCGAAAATAGAAGGTTTCATTCACATATGCAAGTTTGTAGCTAGCTAGAAATATGTCGGCGGAGGTAGTAGATAGGGAAAATGGGAGGTTAATGAGGAAAAGCTTTATCAAGCATGATTGGAAGCGGGGTTAGGGATGGAGAGCCAAGGAGACGTAGAGAGGAAAAGTGTAGTTGTGGACGACTGGAAAGGCGAAGAGCGAGGGGAGATATGTGGACCAAATTTATCTGACCAAGAAGAACGGAAACGAAGTGTCACCGAAGCACAATGTACCTAAAGATGTCATGGATGCGTAGCTGCGTGCACTAATGAATAAACGTTCCCACCTAATCAGTTTACTTGTTTGAAAAGAACGAAGACTGTGATGGAGGTGGTGAACGCCTAAATTACTCAATTTACCAAACTCAGTGAAAAGATCTCCTACGTATTTTCCACACTTTCCGTAATTTACACACATTTGTGTTGAGCTTGTTAGTCTTTTCTGCCTGATTGTGCTCAAAAGAATGAGGAGAATACAACAGAGGAAATATCATCTTTCTTGGATGACTGCAAACAACAAAAAAATGTTTCTGTCGCAAAACATTTAATTTACCCATTTTCCAAATTTTCATCTTTTTAGTCTTCAAACCCAACAATTTTCCAGGTTTTACTTAATTTCAGATCTTTGAGAGTTGTGGGGACTTCAGCTCCTATGCAGCCCCTCCTTATTGGCTTATATTAAGCTGAGCTACGCTGAGATTGAGCAGATAACCACTCTAAGGTCATGGCCAATTAGCACTATATATAAGCACAAGTGAAAGAACTTGGCGTCCGAGGTATTTCTGGCCGGTTAATCGGACACCGGATACCAGGACTGCACACGCCCGTCGT